CAATAAAATCTCGAGGGCAGCTGGGATCAAAAGATTCCTGGTGTGCTTTTATGATTTCAGTAATGAAGTCATCAACTTTATCAAAGTTTTTTATTAGTGTTTTATGAGGCCCAGGCCAATAATCCAGGATGGTTGGCATGAAATTGTAGAGCTGTGATAGTAAAAGGAAGGAAAAGCATATTTTGGTTGAACTGCTTACAATGAATTGTTCCCCTAACTGTTAGTATGAGAAGGAATAAACTGTTTCAGAAATGTAGGTCTATATTAATCAATTGGTTTTTAATGCCTTTTACATCATGGCTTAACTAGACTCAAGGAAAGACATCATTTAAGGTACTTTTGCAATTACATCCTTCCTTGGACGTGCAATTGGAAGTGCAGAAAGTTAAAAAAAAAAAAAAAAAGAAAGAAAAGCACAAAGGAGTTGGCCATGTAACTGACTTTTTGGCCTTCAAAATTCTTTTCCATGTTTAGGGGAATTCATACCAGTGAAAAATTAATAACATGAATGAATAATCATTTTAAAACCACAATAATTCATACATTTATTAATGCAATGAAACTGCACAAACCTGTGTTTGTATTCTCTTCTGGTGCTTTTCATTTTCTTCCAGCATCTCAATTAAATCCAGAAATTTCTTGTCCTCATAGTCAAACCGATCCCCAAATACAATGGAGCAGATGATGTTGGAAACAGCATGCATTAAAAACACAGTAGGATTGAAAGGTTTCTCTGCAACATAAGAAAAAATCACTTGCTTTCAGTATTTCAGTCATGATCTCCTTCCCTGACACCTACGGGGAAGTTTTGCATTCACTTGAGACCCAGATTTGAGCAGTTCTTTAAGAAGGTAGTGAGAGGCTTAGCCAATTGGTTCTTCTCTACTTGTAAATAACTGATATCCTGTCTGAATTGTTTAAGTCCCTGTCCCAGAGATGGAGGATTTCAGTGGTGCATCAGCAATGCAGTGTTACTGACAGGAAAAGAGCAATGCAGGTGAGCATTTTTCTCTCAGATTGATAGCAGGGATATTTATGTGTGAATCCAGACTGAATTTTCTAGTGTCTCATGGAGAGCAGTGGTACTTTGGCATCTTATTGGGTCTGTCAGCATTTTTTCCTCCTTGTGGAACATCACACATGAAGGCTGTCTATTGAAAGGAAGCTTAGTGTCCAGGGTATTAACACTCTCAGGGGAGGTTCTTAAAAAAAATAGTATTTACATCCTACCAGAAATGCATGAATGGGTTAAAAAAGCAGAAATGGAGCTGTATGCTCACTTCCTGGGTCAAAGTTTTGATGAAGCGGTGGCACAACACTCACTATCTCATTGCAGATATGCAACGTTTCCCAGCAAATGCATGCCAATGTCCTACCATGTGTGTTCCTGATCCTCTCCACCAGAAAACAAGCTTCCTCCTGGATTCGCTCCTCAATGCCCTTCTTCCCCATTCCAAAATCACGCAGGGTGGTGAGGGTAAATCGTCGTATCTGCCTCCAGGTCTCCCCATTGCTGGTCACAATGCCTGTCATAAAAAGGAAAAACAGACTCCATGAGGAAACAGATTTTCACCCTCCCGCTAGTCCCCCACATAGGTGTCTAACACAATTGCTATGTGCCTCACACCCTAACATTCCTGCAGTTCTGGA